GGGGGGGGGGGGGGGGTTAGGACAGGAGCTACTACAGGGGGATGCCCGTTCGGTCTTGAAGCCTGGATTCGTACGAACAAGTTCCGTGCTTAACAAACGCGTAGAATTCATTATCATTACATTGTACTGTAATTATTGAGTGCGTATCGCTACTATTGTATAGTAAGCTGTATAGTATACCGTTACAGTACTACTGCTACGATATATCATACAGCGTGTATCCGATTTTTGATAAGTACATTACAGTACAATGTAATGATACGATTAATAAAACTGCATCCATCTATTGCGAGTCTTCCTCTGTTATCTGAGAGATCGAATCCAGCCTCCATTGACACGTGCACCATTACGTTGTCTTTTACCTTTCCTTCTTGTGCTTCTTCCCCTTTTTCTTTTTAATCGCGCTACTGGAGCGTTTCCGTTTCTTTTTCTCTGGGGCGGCCGTGGTGTCCGGCGCTGGACTCGGAGTCCGCACAAGTTCGTACACTTTGCTAGCAGCAGCTCTCGCCTCCGCTTCGCGCGCGTGCCTCTCCGGATCTAGGCTACTTCCCTCCACGAAGAACTCCGATATACCGAACGCTTCACGTAGCTTTGCATTCTTTTCTTGCTGCGCTTCGGCGATCTGATGCGTCTCACGTACACTGCAAGAAAAAATTCATGTTCCCGGTTATTCCACGCGTTACAAAATCAATGATAAAAAAAATCCTGTCTACTCAATTACAAGTCGAGTCTTATGCTGAATAAAATTATGTAATCAATGCTAAGATTTAGAAAGTGAATTGTAGGCATACAATTCTGTAATTCGATCTGTATAAACCATATGCGAACAAGACGATTCCGTGTCCACACGGAATGTGTACCAAGTTATCGCAAAATGAAACACGTGGGCGACAGAAGTATTCCGCGAAAAACTATGATTTTTATCATCCGTCAACTTTAGAAGTCACTTTCGCAGAGAACATCTTGTTCACGAACTCGAGAAAAATCCAATCGATGCGATATCGAGCCGGGCATAAAAATAAACAGACACTGTGACCCATTTCGACGTTTCTTCAGAACACCGTCACCGATAGGAATACCAAGAGATTCATACCGCGTCGAGATTTTCACAGTCATCGTTTCACTAATCGCCTCGGTTCCTGTGAATTTTACGAGCAACTAGCATCGGCGATAGGAAACGATAAGGGACAAGCTGATCGGCGTAATCCTCGATGATGCCGCGACGGACGTCGGGTGATGCGGTAAACCAGGTGACATAACACTGAGAAGAGTGGCTATGAAACCGAGGAGGAATCGTGGCGGCCCCACTTCAACCCCGCGAATGAAAAGCAAGCTAGAGACCGGGGCCGACCGAGCCACCCCTACGCCAACACTCCAGGGCGGATCAATACAATCCAGCTGTTCTCTTTTCTGCTATCCCTTTCGCGCCGCTAGTCGCCAGCTACACGCTCGAATTCAGCAGCCAATCGCGGGGGCAATCCCGAGACCATAGGTCAATCGGTGAAATAATTTTCGTTTACGAGACCGGGATTGTGTACCCGAAATCTGCATTAACACGAGTTCACGTCTCTTTTAAGTTAAATTAAAACTACTACAAAAATTCAAATATCGTTTGAAAAAGTTAAAACAATTGCTTTGCGTATATTAGTAAAATCTTTATAAATGAAAAATTGTTTATGGCACACGTCAGATGATTTTATGCTTGCGGTGCACGTTAAAGGGTGACACTTGTTTACAGGGAAATGTTTCCCTTTCGCAACGGATTAGGGAGTCAACAATATGAGTCACCCAGAACGAAACACGGAGGGACGCTTTTGCCTTTTTAATCCGCTTCAATCCCTAACATGCTTCATCAAAATTTTAAATTCTCGTGTTTTTTAGCTCTCTGTAAACACGAGAATAGAAAATAGATTTATAAAAGTAGTAAAATACCGAATGTCTCTGTACAACAGGTAGAGATAATCTGCGGTCATAGAAACCCAGTTCTCGAGCATGGACATGGGTACAGTAAAAAAATTAAAAAAATTGAAACAGTGTAAGTTACATGAAACAACTTACTTCGTTCAGCCAAGGAACCCGGAGTTGTCTAATCTAAACGCGGTTCGAACGGTGAACAATAATTCAATAAACGAAGGAGAACGGTTTAACAACAGTTTTAGACAAATTCACCTGACGACGGAGCGCATGTTGCTGCGCCGTCCGGCGAGAAGGTGGAGTTGAATGCGTTGACAACAGCAACAATGCTGCCGTATCTGCAGCTGTCCACGCTTCTTCCCATTAGCAGCTTGCAATTTCCGTTTTCGCGATCGTTTCATCACCTTCTGTCGATCCAGAAAGAAATTCCCTCGCCATAGCGTCTCGAAGAAAGCTCGGCCGTCGGCAGGACCTCGCCCGCGAGCTGGTTTCACCGGAGCTACCGTCACGGACATAGTCATTTCTTGAATCCTAATTACTGATGCGAACAAATTCTCCTCGTTGTTTTTTAAATCAGAATTTTATTTTCAATTAAGTTTCTTGATCCCTTCATTGAAATATATTTGGATGATGTTTTTCTAAATCTCCTTCACATGTGAATTTTACGTGATTGTTACAAACGTTTCCAAATTATATACTCTATATTAATATATAGGATTTATGTGTCGTGTATTTATCTTCTTCAGCGGATAATTTCATTAGCTTGAACGTTTAATTTCATTGGCCCCAAAGACAAGTTACGGGCCTGAATAATTAACCAGCGGTAATTAGGCGAGCATTAAGCAGCATCGGCCGCTAATTTACGCTAAGAAGCTCTGCCGGTTGGGCCTGCAAGTAGCTCGAATGCAGGCTTAATCCTTTTCTCTGGGCTGGCTTTGATAGTTTAGGCGGCCGGATGAGGGATGAGGGTTGCAGGCGAAGATAATGGCTTCCTCCCCCGATTACACGAGCACCGTGTTCAGAGATTTTGCCATCCTACCAAGAACAATCATCCGGCTGCGATGATGAAAACTGTCGCTTTTCATCATTTTCTACCCTTTTATATCTCCTCTTTTTCTCTCCCTCTCATTGTCAGAACTTGATCGATTGTTTCCCCGAATCCGTTCAGACATTTTTCCATTTTTTTTTCATTTCAATTTCGATTTTTCAGTTTAACTTTTGTATCTTCTATTTAATTAATAAAACGTATATAGCTGCATAGTATACATATATTCTTAGTCGATCTTGTAAGAATATAGTAATATGTCGTAGTTTTATTCTAGCTTAGAGACTAGGGAAGACTTTGTATCAGGCACACTATAATCGCCGCGCTTCGACCCATACGCTGGACGTACCGAGGCCAAAGCAAGGACGTCTTAATTAATTATTGTCGATTTATCGACTTGGAGACACATGGATTTTAATATGATAGAAAAATTTCCGCACGGATTCCTTTCATGTTTCTATGTCTTCGTGTGCATCTTTCGTCCCTCTTCGTTCTCTGTTTTCTTTGATCCTTTTCAATTTCTTCGAATGTAAAGGATGTATATATACGAGACACGTTTCCACGAATTACAATCGAAACCTTGGTTCAATTATTCGTTTTGTTCTCTCGAATCCAGTATACGTACCTCGAACTTGCACTTATCACTTACAGTATACTTAAAACATAGTATAAGATATATTTATATTTATATATATATATATATAATTATCTGTATAATTATTTATGCGCTAATGGAAGACTTTTGTGATTTGTATGTTGCGAGCGTGTTACGAAATCGTTACATGTTCCCTCCCTTTTCGATCTTTTTTGTGTTTCGTTTTCTCCCGAGTGCTTTTTCGATTATTAGCCGACGGTTCGTGTACTCGACGAGAGTCGACGACGCGTAGCGTCGCAACGCCGGTCCATTCTCGCACTGAGAAGGAAGGAGTCGAGTACGAGAGATGCTGGGATAGAGCTCTCCCTTCTCTCGACTCTCGCGTATCTCTGTTTCTCTTTCTGTGCAACCCCGCGTATCGGCCTCCCTTTTCGTGGGTGGCGCCGGCGCCATGGGGTACGTCGATATCGGCCGCGTAATACCCCTGAAAGCGAGCCCGAAAGAAGGAATGCGGCCACCGTACTCCACCCTCCAATAATATTGGGTTTAACGGGAATCTGAGGTACCGATCAGAAGCAGCCGCCTTCGACATTACGTTTACGGAGTATTCATACGACGGGGTCTATCCGGAAATCGAAATGATTTCCGTAGGGGATCTGTGATCTTCAGCGGCTGAACGCGGGCAATTCAGTGCCGTCGTTATCCGAAATGCAAGGTACGGTAAAAACAGGTAAAAACTGGATGCCTCAGTAGGCCCCGGCCAACAATACAGGTCAAATCCCGTGTTATTTAGGTTCATGTAGCTCGTGTTTGAAGAAACGAGTGGTCGAGAAGTCGTCAATTTTATTAAATTATGTAACTTCTCGGCACATCGTTGCCTTAACCATCCGGTACTTGAACTTAAATAACAGGGGATTTGACCTGTGTTGTTGGCCAGAGCTTACTGAAGCAGCTAGTTTTTACGTGTTTTTATCCTACCTTGCATTTCGAATTACGACGGCAGTGAATTGCCCGTATTGAGCTGCTAAAAATCACAGATCTCCTAAAATAATGACGACATAAAATGTGATTATTTCCAGGCGAACTCCATAGTGTGACTCGATGTGATCGCGGCAGCTTATTTAATTTTGGCTCAATTCGCTGAATTCTGATCCCTGAATATTTTTGAAATGTGTTTTACCATGGGAGTCTACGTCGCATAGCGACGAAATTTTTAATCTAACGTAATTTTAATTAGGCTATCAAGATACCTTTTTCTAAATCAATTTTAACTACTTTAAAATGAACCCGTTTTCAGAACCTTATTCAGAAAAAGTTTGTGAAACCAGAAATTCGGTTTCGTTTTATCTATGCACCGATATGCAGTTTCGCAAAATAAAATTTATCATGCAACACAATTTACTTCAAACTGCAGTTTGTCTGATGTGCTCATTCAAATATTCCATTCAAGTTTTAAGCATAACACAAATATGTAGAGTCAAGGATAAAGTGTACTCACTTTACGCGGCCAAATTCATCTCTAGGTATCGGTGGCTTGGCGTCTGTTCCCATTAACATGGATCTGTACGATTCTACTTTCTTTGTCACTTCTTCGGATGTAAATCTGTAAAACAGAATAGAAAATTGACTAAATAAGAAATCTTGAATTCGTTGTACCATAGTTGGCAAGCCAGCCAAGAAGTACGTTTCATAGAAAGAATATATTGAAGCCAAATGTAAACCAAATCCAATTGAAGCTCAGAATCTCATTTAGTGTTAGATTCCAGAAATCAATGAAGCTTCACACTTATTCTATATATATACATTGTATTTAAATTCATTTAAGGAAGAAAACATTCCTCTATTTCATAAACAGTTGTGTTCAAAAGCTATAATAACTAAATAAACGAATCAATTAATTTACCCTTGTTCCTCCAAAATATCTGCCAGTTCTGCACATTTAACTTCGACCTTTCTTTTTCTAACATGATCAAGAATCTCCTTGTTGGGTTGCTTATTGAGTTGTTCTAATTTTCCTTCGTCAGTTTTGTATGTGACTTTATCTTTCGTCTTACGTACAATTGCCCAATTCCTTTGGACATGTCCATTCGTTCCAGAACCACGAGGTGTTTGTAATCCAATTCCATTGTACATTTTGGATTATACCTGCAAGCACGTAATGTATAAAATAGTTAGAGAAATATATTCATTATCAATAGGTATATGAATACTTGAATTGGATATGAGAGAAGAAAATTAAAAAGATGTGTCTATACATAATACAGATTAATAAGCATTTTAACAATGAATGACAGTAAGTGCTCGATAGGCATAGTGGTCTCATTTAGAAACGTGAATAAAGATCATATACAACGGGGTCGCGACATATCACGGTAGAATTCTTTCAAGTTTCCAACGTCGGATCTTAACTAAATCAGATGAATCGACCAACGACCTAAGACGATTAAATTAATAAATCCGGAGGGAGCGGGAAGGTAGGTTAGAATAGAATACACGCAAATCAATTATCGATCCGGCGAATGCTGCGCAAATTACACGGGCAAACGTTTCACATTAATTGTGGAATATTACCTTTGTATTAACAGCGTTACGCCATTCACGTAATTCCCGATTTCTCTCGTCCACAAGTGGTAATGATTACTTCTCTAAATAAAAAACACAACGAGCACCGCGATCACACCGCGATTTCCGTGACGTTACCGTTTCATGCGGCACCCTCGCGACGCGCCGTACGGCGGCGCTACTATTTTCATAAGCGTAGGACGCTAAATAATTATGAAATGGAAAAACCGTCCACCGGTAGTGCACTTTATAAACGATTGAAGATATACTTATTAGCTCTTCAGTGAATCGTATTGAATGTATCGAAGATAAGAATAAGATTAACTCTTTTTAGAAGTGATACATGATACACTCTCTAGAACTAGACTACACCGATTACACTGAGCTCACTGAGCGAACAGTACTGAGTACACGGTTACCTGTATAAGTATGAGTACTGAACTAACCAAAACTAACTGTACCGAGAAAGCGAGAACCGCGAGAACTGAGTGAGTAGTGAGCAGTAATAAGTGAGTAGTGAGTACCTAAGATGAGTACCAGAGTACGGAGCGCTGAGCGTACGTCCCGTATGGTATGAGTTGGTATGAATACGGAGCGTAATGTGTATTGTGTTGAGGAATTTCAACTACAGCGCCGTTCGTTGAGGAATAGTAAAACTCAGGATTCATTTATAAGATACATGATCCAAATTTTGAAAGTAGGTATTTCTAGATTTTCAGTAATCTAAGCACGTATCCATAGCAATAGAGGAAGTGTATGAAAACGAGAACATAATTTGCATAATTATTAGACAGAATTGTGCATCATAATCTGTATTGTATGTTACAGATAGATAAATAAAGTAAACCGGAGAAACTCAATCGTAATGTGCAGTATTTTTTTCTTTCTCCTTTTATTAACCAAATTTTATAGCACATGTTGCGAGGATTTTGATATCGATATAAATGGATACATTGTTTATTGTCCTTGTATGGGTAAGATTTTAATAGCTTTGTTTATATAAGTATTATAGTGTAATGCGATATGCAAATATCTAGTATTAGATTATTTATATTATTAATGTAACCATGCCTCTTAGGACGTTTTGGAAACCAAGCAGATCATTTCTTAGGTGCTTTAGGATTTGCTAAAGCACTAAATCGTACTTTAGTTTTGCCACCATGGGTTGAGTACAAAACTGGAGAAACTAGATCTGTTAGTATACAATAACATTTAAGGAAATAAATATATTTTTATAATTCAATATATCGTATTTCAGATACAAGTTCCTTTTGATGTATATTTTAACGTTTCACAAGTGCAAAGTTGCCATAAAGCAATGTTAATGAAAACCTTTGTACAAGCTATAGCACCCAAAATATGGGAACCTAAGGAAAGAGTATGTAAGTCTTGAGTGTTAAACTGAAAAGACAAAAACATTTTTTTGAAACCTATCGCTTCTTACAGCTTTTTGTTATTCTGCACGTGGAAAGGGAGATTCTTGCAATGCTAAAGAAGGCAATCCATTCGGTCCATTTTGGGACACATTTAATATAGATTTTGTGAAGTCAGAATTTTATGGCCCTCTTCATTACGACGTGTATCACACGGACATGGCGATGCAATGGAGAAAACGATATCCTGCATTGAACTGGCCAGTTTTAGCATTTACAGGTGCACCTGCTAGTTTCCCTGTGCAATTAGAAAATAAAAAATTGCACAAATGTCTAGAGTGGAATACAGACATACTGAATAAGGCAAAAACATTTATAAAAGAGAAACTACCGAAGGGAGCATTTATAGGAATTCATTTGAGGAATGGAATTGATTGGGTACCAACTTATGTGTGTTTATTACGGATCTTCTATTTCATTGTTTCCAATATATTTCTATCGTCTGTAGGTTCGTGCTTGTGAATTCATATCGAGTACACCAAATCTCTTTGCTGCTCCTCAATGTCTAGGATATCGAAATGAACGTGGAAAAGCAACGTCCGCTATGTGTCTACCATCATTCGATTTAATAGTACGTCATTTGAAACGTGTTATTCGCAATAGTAACGACGTCAAATCAGTGTTTGTAGCATCTGATAATAACTATATGATTGAGGAACTGACCAAAGCCTTGGCGCGCATGGAAGTACGCATACTTAATTAATATATATAAATATGCAATATGTATAAAAACATTTATAAAACTTCAATGAACATTCTTCGCAGGTACCAGTTTTTAAACAAGATTCGCCTGCATCACCTCATTTAGATTTAGCCATTCTCGGTAGAGCGAATTATTTTATAGGCAACTGCATTTCTTCATACTCAGCATTTGTTGCGAGAGAACGGGAAATTAAAGGATATCCCACATATTTTTGGGGCTTCCCTACAGAAAGAGCTTCACTGTCGATTATGCATGAAGAATTGTAATTGGTGTAATCAAATATTTTATACTCATTCCTTCATTTACTCGTAATCTATTGAGTAGAGACTATAATTACTTAAATTATTATTCTTTTTATACACTGTATACCACAATTTTGTATACATTATTTTTGACTGTGCTTTATAAAGACAGTCTTATAAAATGAAATATGTTCAACTGTATTTGTATGTAAATACCACTTTTGATAAATGTCAATGTTGACTCTGAGAATGGATGAAAATATGAGAATATAAAGACTCCAATAGCTTCTAAGCATCATTCACTGCTAACTATAAATCCTATAATACATGTTAATGTCCTTCTGCATGAAACAGTTTAATTCATCAAATATATAGTAAATGAAACTTATTGTGAAAGAAGAGAAAGAATTGATCTGTTATATATTTTCAAATAACATTTATTTTTATTAATGTTTGAATACAACTTTTTTCGTATTCAAAAAAGCCACTTCTTGCTATGATACTACCTCTTACAGAAAGGTATCGCTAAAGTCGAACGAAACTATAGCACACTATAGGCATGTATAACAGGTGCTGCAAGGTGCTGTTGCTGTTCGTCTATCGTTGTCAATCTGTAATATATTTGATCTAACGATTAAGATTTCGTAGATATAATATTCTGCTGTCAATCATTGTTAAAATACAGAGTTTTTTTGATTATCCATATTGATTTAAATACCACCAATATTTCCCAATTCAATCGTGAAAAATGGCTAATCCTAAGTATGCCGATTTACCTGGCATCGTAAGTATTTCTTCACATCTAATGTCAAAGTTATGTCAATCCCATACTGTTACTAATAGAACGCGTTGTTGCCATAAATTAAAAGTGACACATCTAAAATATGTAAATTCTGATTAAATTGAAGACTTGATATAACTTATTGTACAACGTTATGTATTAAATTGACATATATATAATGAGCTGATTTAAAGTTACTGTTATGTGCGTATAGTTGTGACAAGATTTCTCTTTAATATTTTGTTTAGGCATATGATCAGGTTGATGTCTATGAGACTACTGATTTACCGGAATCAGAACAATTTCAACTTTACCCCGAGGTAAAATCTTGTTGCATTCATTACATCGTTTCTCCATTTAGTTAGCATTGTTATTGTTTTTATTTTTAGGATGAGACTGATTCTATAGAGACGTTACATATTAGTGCCAGTGAAGCATTTAATAAGTTTAAAGGTAAACATATCGTTAATAAGGGAGCTGATTTTTCAGACCGAATATCACTCAAACCAAGGACAGGCTATAAGTAAATTGCTTTAACAAATAAGTAAATAGAAAATATGAGTTGCATACTTCGGATTAATATTAAAAATTCTAGATTTGGAAATTGGGAACTACTTGGAGAAGGAGAGAATGAAACTCCTATCCAAAAATATCAACGTTTGCAATGTGAAGTTAAAGACTTGTATGAAGAAGTGAATACTTTGAAGGTACAAATATACATTACAATTTATATATAGATATTATTACTATATTTGTGTTTTGGAAATAGGAAAAAGCAAAAGATGAAGAAGTGAAATCTGTAGCTGATATTATTTCTCAAGTGCAACTTTTAGCAAAGCAATTAGATACCTTGAAACTAGAGGAATGCTTGGGTCCAGATCTTATTGCAACCCTGTCAGATCCACAAGGCATGAGGATGAAGTAAGATTGCTCATAAGTACGAATTTGTAATAATTAAGCTCGTGTAAGTAATGATTAATTTTATCAATGAATATTCTAGACAATTGATATCACAAATAGAAGCATTCAAGCAAACCAGTATTCCTACTTCTGAAACTGTTCCAAAAGCAGAGATTACAAAAGATGATAAAACAAGTGAATCAGGTGTACTTAAGTATCAGATGATGTATCTTCCAGAAAAGGCAAGAATGCAGGAAACGGCCAGAATCGCAGTACTTGAACAGAGGCTTTGCAGCTTAGAAACTGTTATCGGAACGACTAGCGACAAGCTATCGAAATTTTCACAGGTATAATGTGACTATAGTCAGTGATGAAAGTTAGTTTTACAAATAAGTAGATAACTTTTATTTGTAGAATCTTAAAGGTCAAGGAGTGATAGAATCTCTTCAAGAATTGGGAGCCAAAGCTGCATTGTTAGATACTTACCAAATAGACGTGGCCGAAACTCGATTAGCTGCTTTAATCCATAGAATGGATAACATTGCACAGAAGAAAACTGCGTTAGCATTAGATTCGGAACAAGAGCAAAAAGCAAGTTTACTTTTATGATTAATGTAAAAGAATAACGTTTAAAAAATTATGTACGTAAAATCAATTTTATGACATCTATTTAACTAAAATTACTTCCAGATTTCGGAAATGTATGATATTATGAAACAAACAGAAACGATGTCACAAATTCTACCCCAAACCGTAAACCGAATGTTAGCCTTGAACAGTATTCATCAACAAGGTATGATTCTTGAATATAATAATTACGAAACGGTTCTTCTAAGGACGTAACTTTATATTAAATATTGTTTTAGCTGCTACGCTGAACAAATCACTAGCGCGTTTGGAAGAATTAGAAACGCAAATAACTTCTGATTTGGAAAGCAACAAATCTCTATTGAAAGGAGTACAAGAAAGCTTTGCATC